CCGCTACACTATCAAGTTGGCTAGATAACTGTCATTACAGTTTATTTTTCTTCAATCAATACTCTTGGATGTATTATTTAAAGCGTTAATTCCTGAATGTCGACATATAACATTTTGTTGTTTGCAGTGAAATCCCGCAAATAATTGCTAGTGGAGACTCAACAGGAAGGCTATTAAAATACAATCCAAGAACCAAAAAAGTTACTGTATTGCTGAGAAGACTAGCAGGGCCAGCTGGGGTGGCAATTAGTAAGGATCGCTCATATCTTCTTGTCACAGAATTTCTGAAATCAAGAGTTTGGAAGTATTGGTTAAGGGGTCCGAAAGCAAATACAGCACATGTTTTGTTAAATGTGTCAGGATCGCCATCTAAGATCGTTAGGAACAATGTGGGAGATTTTTGGTTAGCAATGACGGTAAAAAGGCAAGTTCCAACCCCAAGAATTAAACTTCAAGGACTAAGGATCAATGGATATGGCAAGATATTGGAAACAATAACCTTCAACCCTGGTTTTGACTCGTCAATGATTACAGAAGTTCATGAGCACAAGGGGGCACTATATTTAGGTTCTCTATATGTTGGCTACGTGGGAGTATACAGGAAATTCTAGTAGACATTGATATGTTTCTTTGTTTAATAATAAGGGAGTTGCATCTCAATAGTAACCGGTATCAACTTTTCACATTGGGTTGATCGATTGTTCAGTTTTCTTTTCTTAGTATAAGTAAAAAGTTTTGAACTCGAGACCTCTATTGTACTTGTACGAGGTTTACTAATAAATTTTTTTTTGAAGTTATTATTTTTTGTACATATACTGGTCTTTCCCACTAAATTCGCCGTCTTTTTACAAGTTATTATTTTTTTCTTGGTCTGTAGACTCTGTACGAAGAACGCTATTTGGGCAATAGTCAATTGCTCTTTACTTTCATAAAACTTCTACCATTAACAAATAGTATGACATACATGAAAAAAAAAAAAAAAAAGGTTATGACATACACATGATTTTGTTCCAAAATAATCTTCATATATTGCGGATCTGTTATCTACAAGATTTTGACATGTCTTGCTTTGTAAGCCAGAGAGCATTACATATTTACATTACCATCTCTCGAGTTTCTATTTCATTATCAAACTCGATAAATTTTGTTATTCAATATGGTCTACGACAGTTAATTTTATGGTTGGTGCTTGAAAGGAAATTTTTTTTTTCAGCATTTGTGCCTTTTCTCCTAATTTAAAGCTGAAATTTGCTTAAAAATTTTGAGAAGGCAGAATAATATAAGAGATGCACGGTGCACGAGTAGGTAAATAATTAGTTTTGGTTGGATTTATTGAAGGGGTTGAAACTAAAATCACAATACGCTAATGCCCAAAAGTAAGCAAGATCAACCACAGGTAAGTAGAGAGTTATAGTTTGGAAGTTTTCATACTTGTTGTCAGCATAATACAGAGATAATGGAGGGTAGGTAGGTTTATATTGATTGTTACTACCATAAATATAGAAATAACAAAAGCTAAGATATATTGTGCTAATATTCTGAACTGCCAAGACCCAGTCATATGCATCTTTAAAGGAGATAATAATAGTAGGTACTTTTTAAAAAGAGTAATAATAGATATTTATTTTTGATATACTTAAGAATTGAATAAAGAATTTTAAATAGGTTGCATTTAAATACACTTCATTAAAGTCAGTGCTGAATATTAGGTGCAATAATAATGCCTTTAACATTGTTTTTAACTTAAGTAAAGAAAATGTACATATTTTATCACCAAATTAATTAAAACCTATATATTTTTGTCCATTAACATATTTTTATTAATTGAGCAGCCATTTTGACGAAAGAAGAGGTTACTGACTAAATGAGGAATTTTAAATAGTTTAATAAATGATCATTTGCTCTTCTTTCATTTACTTTATTAACTTATAGGGAAAACATATATTAAGAGTTACAAGAAACAAGATAAGCGACGCGCGCGACACACTTTTTCTTAAACTGCGACCTTCATCTTTTATCTCCAGCCTACCGCACTTATTACATTCCCAAAAAAGAATATTTAAAAGGCTAATAGCTATTTGTTCAATAAATAAAAGAACAGTCCTAAACTAACACCCCAAAGTCGTCTATTTAATTTCACGTTAACCACAGTGAATCCCAGTCTTTTCAGTTTTTATTTTAAATTTTGGATTTTTGGCACTTAAAAAGGCTAATAGCTATTTGTTCAAGCTTATATAATTTATTCCAAAGGTAATCTTTTTATGCATTGAGCGAGTGTAAATGTATGTTACGTAATTTAATTTTAAATTTAAAATTCACTTTTTACATAGGTGACACACATGATGCATCTACACTTGTTAGTGTAAAAAATTCTCTATATTGCCAGTGCATAAAAGTTTAAAAATTAATATTCTATACATTGACAATTTGTACACTGCCACCTTTGGATAAATGATAACGATAGACAGCAATAAGATTTGAACAATTATCATGATTTTGCAAAATTGGCTAGTTATATATTAAGAGTATAATCGAGTAGAGTCGAGTTCAAGTAGTCCATTACTCGATCTTGAGTTGAGTTAAAAAATTTGAATTTGAACTCGAACTCGTCAAACTCTTGAAAGTTGAGCTCTATTTTGTTAAGCCTAACTTAACCTCAAGTTTCATTAATTAGAAAAAAGCAAAAAAAGTTGAATGATCTGTTTCCTACCAAAATTGGCCTTTTTAATATCAACTTAATTGAGTTGTCATTATATTCAATACTTTTTGCGTTACCCGCATACAAATTTTTTAAAGTTTGTTAATGGTCTTGATTTCCCGTCTTATAAAGAAATCAGATTGCTATTCCATTCCCTTCATATATATAACTTCCCAACCCTCAACGTCATTTTAAAAAAAAAAAAAAAAACCCAACAAAAAAGCCACAGAAATCTTGCTATCAATTGTCTAGTACCAATATATCCACAGAAGTCTTGCTATCAATTATCTAGTACCAATACAGAAAAGCCCTCACAGCTTGCTATTTATTCCCAGAGGAGCTAAAAATGACGCAATTGGTAATGTTCTTGAAACATTGAATCTTGCTGGAAAGTTCAAGAATTTGAGGCAAATCTGGTGTGCTAATTGCTAAAGCACCAGGTTTGCCGCAAGGAAATGTTGGAAACTTCTCCGCATTGACTTCTGAATGAGGCATACTTACTTGACGATTGGCTTATTGAATCCTGCTATTGTTTCCTACTGCGTCCTTGGTCTCTTGGTCTGTGCGAAGGAACGATACTTGGTCAATAGGCAACTGCCTTTTTTTTTTTTTTTTTTACTTTTATTGGGTAATCAATACTTCAATAGTCACAACTGCTCTTTGCTTTCGAATAACTTTTACCATGCATTTCCTCGCAATTTACAGCGGCTCGCAATCAGTCCACCCCATACCAAACACCACACAACAAACTTCACATAGCTCATAGCTGAGAAAATTGAGAAGATCATCAATGGAGAATAGCAATGGCATAGGGATCTACAGCCTCGGAATTTAATCAATGGAGAAATGGGCAATCAGCATATCAGACAGGTCAACACAATGTATTGAGATCCATTATCCGTCATGAATTGTGGTCCTGTGACCTGATTTGGAGGGACGGACACAGTCAATGGACGGAGTCCACACCTAGACTACATGGCTTTAATCCTGCAGATTTTTATTTTTATTTTTTCAGATTTGGAATCCCCTGCAGAGCCATTTATTGGGATTCGACCTATTTACATCCTAGACATGTTGGATAAAAATTTACGTGTTTTGACCCCGTATTGGACTCAGATTCGATTATTAATATATTTAAATACGTAATATCTCCATTATAATTTGTTACTGATTCATTTGTTTTGTCTTAAATAAAAAAAGTTTCCACATAAATCAAGTAATTGTTGAAATTTTTCTCATGTATTAGTAGTATTTTACGAATAAAGTTTGTCTAAAATAGAAGTATTGAAATTATTGAGAACTATTATAGTGAATCGATTGAACCCGTTCGTCGCAACGGATCTTCTGTACCACACCCTGTCTCACATCCTGTCCCATTCCTTAGAATCTCGCCAAGTGTCCCTTAATAAATCAAACCCTCAAACAACCCAACTCGAACCATATTAAGTTAATTAATCGATTAACCGGGCGAAGAAACTTAATCCCTTTAACCATTATAACCAAAACCAAGAAAAATAAAAACTCTTTAATCAAAATCACAGTTTATCAACGAAAAAAACCCTAAAATATTAAAAAATCTCTGTCCTCTCTTCATCATCTTCACCGTACTCTTACGGTTGTTTCAGCCTCTGCTTCACTGACGACTCTTCTTCTTCCTCCTTCGGATTCCTCAAAATCCATTTCCCTTTTCCCCCCTCCAACCCATCGATGGAATTCCAACGGCTTTTTCAAAATTGTCACCTGCGCTCCGCCGAAGCATGGCATTCACTCCACTGAAGCAATTGAAACTAGTATCGGGTATCAAGATGCTATCTTTATCTTTTGCCTTTCTAGAAAATCCAGATTGCTTTTTAGTGCCTATTGGACGAGTTTCAAGCATGGCATTTTGAGTGGCCTTCTCTGCTAGGAATAATTTTCTTTGTTTGAGTTTTATTTAGTGGGTAATTGACCAGAATTATCTGAAACTGATGCATGGTATAATATTGGACCCGAACGAGAGACCTCTGCTCTTTCTCTCCATCCTTTTTTTTTAACTCATTTTTTGTGTCATTCATGTTAAAGGTACTCCGAAAACTTGTTCTCTGATTCTAAACAACTCGGGACCAATCTCGTATTTGACTGTTGACACCAAATTGTATATATAATCCATATAACAATGCTGAAATTCCCAAAATATGTCCATAAACCAGGCCCTGTACACCTTTGCACCCTTCTCTTTAGCACATTGAGCCATCCAACTCACAGTCTGGCTCCCATGGTCAAACATATTCAACAGCCTCTTGTTCGAATGGGAAGGATAAGATTCAGCAACAATTTAAATGCAGATCCTCTACTAATAGTAAAAACAAGTACAAACTCATTCTCAAGAATGTTCAAGTAATCCATAATTTTGGTTTTAATATCATGCTCCACAGTACCTTCCTCTGCACACCAATGAAGTACATGATTGCTCAAATTTGCAGTAATTTCCTTTAAGCTAAATATAGATGAATCCCAATACTGTAGCGTTTGAAAACAAGAAAACAACCCGTACAAAGTCAATTCTCAAATGGTCAATTGTTTCTCAACATTGGAACTTTGGGTACAAAGTCAAGAACCAACAAGAAGGCTTCATTAAAGCCAGGAATGGATTCTTCAATGCAAAATGTCCTTTCAGACAAAAGAGTAGTTGCCCTCAAGAATTCCTTCTGGGCATTAAGCCTTGCAAGAGATATTGACCTTCCCAAGCAGCCATCTTGATTCAAAGACTCAGAGTGAATTTCATGTGTTTTTACGAAGTGACCCATCTTCAGAAGCCTCCTCGAGAGCCTCCCTTAGTTTGTTCTCCGGCGAATTCTTGAGAGTTGATGGCTCTGCCTTACCCCACTCCTCCTCCTCCTCCTCCTCCACGCAAGAACCTTTTCCTCTCCTGCTCTTCTTGTCCATCATCAAGGTTGCACAGAATGATATAGGCTTCCATAGTCTCAGATGCAGTAACACGAATCAGTTCCAGTTGACTGCAAAAACCTATCATCATATCAGATACCCCTGCAGTATTAGGGAAAAAGTTACAAGCTTTACATGATTGAAGCTTCATTATGCATAACATTCTGCAAATAAGAGATTACAATTATCTAAGTTACATAATTTTCATAAACATTGAACTTTGTAAACAGTAACAATGAAGTGAATGAATACATAAACCCTGTAACTAGTCACACTAATGCATGTCAAGATGGCACCTCTATCCATATAGACCAAAACCAGAAAACCATTTGAGAAAACAGTGATCACACATGTTTCTTGGCTTTAATTCATAGTTACAGAATAAAAAAAAGAGCTTTTTTTTGAGAAGCACTTACCTTTAGGCCTTATCAGGTTTTAGATGATCTCATCTGCCAAAGACAGAGATAGATTTCCCAAATGAAACCAGCAGGTTGACCAATAATACTACTACGACTAATCAAGATTATGAATCAAAGACCATCCATTCATTGTTGATCAATAATACTACGACTAATCTAAGATTATGAATCAGCATTTGATAAAAATTTCAACTCATGGACTAATTATCAAATGCATCAAATAAAATTGCGACACGAAAGAGTAGAAGGGAGACAAGGATCGCATGTGCCAGCACAAAAAAGTAACCACCATGCAAACTTTAACATATTTTCTAACTACTAATTACAAGCCTACAGGTAGTCCTAATAAACAAAATCAAACGTATAAAACGCAAAACACCCTCCTAATAAATATGGGCTCAACCAAGTCAGACTTTTACCTTATAGTTTGATTCATCTTCCTCTTAGGCATTTGATCGAACAGCTGGTGAGCTTCGTCCAGTACATACCGAATTTTCAGAAAATTTAACAGATGAAACATTTGGAGTGGAAGCTGCAAATTAGAAGAAAAATTCCCTTAATCAGCAAAAGATAAAGGCAAACTTGTTACCCTCTAGTTTCATCATCTACACCTAAGTTCCAAAACACTAAAACAGAGACACTAGAGAATATAACCAATTTCTTACTACTACACACATGCAGTTGAGGATATAGCAAAACTAATTCAAATGTGTGTATCTATACCAATTTGAAGTTGAAAACTAGATCAAGTGCCTAAGCTAAGCAAATTACATCAAATTGGCCTGCGTAGCTAGAAAGAAAAAAAAGCAACACAAATAAAAAAAAAAAATCGCAACCGAGAGAACAAAAAATGAAACCGCAATAAACTCGTCCAATAGGCACTAAAAAGCAATCTGGATTTTCTAGAAAGGCAAAAGATAAAGATAGCATCTTGATACCCGATACTAGTTTCAATTGCTTCAGTGGAGTGAATGCCATGCTTCGGCGGAGCGCAGGTGACAATTTTGAAAAAGCCGTTGGAATTCCATCGATGGGTTGGAGGGGGGAAAAGGGAAATGGATTTTGAGGAATCCGAAGGAGGAAGAAGAAGAGTCGTCAGTGAAGCAGAGGCTGAAACAACCGTAAGAGTACGGTGAAGATGATGAAGAGAGGACAGAGGTTTTTTAATATTTTAGGGTTTTTTTCGTTGATAAACTGTGATTTTGATTAAAGAGTTTTTATTTTTCTTGATTTTGGTTATAATGGTTAAAGGGATTAAGTTTCTTCGCCCGGTTAATCGATTAATTAACTTAATATGGTTCGAGTTGGATTGTTTGAGGATTTGGTTTATTAAGGGACACTTGGCGAGATTCTAAGGAATAGGACAGGATGTGAGACAGGGTGTGGTACAGAAGATCCGTTGCGCCCTTTCGTCAATTTCCTAAGGTCAGACCTAATAATCACATCTAATTTGATGGCAATTAACCAATGGTATACGGAAAGCACTAAAATGTTAATTCTAGTGTCAAAATACAACCCAGCTTTATTTTCTAAACCTATTACGTACGTATAATTTACTTCCTAAAACTATTACATCTAATCTGATCATTGGCTAATCTTATCCTGAAAGTACTAAAATCCTAGTGAAGCTTGATCTAATTTTTCTAACATCGTGTCTTGCTGCGGTATCCTTCCCAGGCCCACAGTTATTTCACTCTTCTGTGAAATATTTCAACGATTAATGCGTGGGGTGTTGTAATATCAACTTAATTGGAGGCTGTAGATGTCAAGAGGCTAGAGCCATAGCCGTATATTTGTAGTAGCCGTGCTATTAGCACAGTAGGAAAGGGAAGTAGGGTTGTGGAAGAGGAAGGGTGGCTAATAATTAACCATTATGCTCTCCTGCCTATAAATAGCAAAATAAGGATTACGTTGGCCATGCCATTCTTAAAGTATAGCAACTAGCAAGCAATTTTTTTCCAAGAGTAGAACTAGAACATTCGCAATGATTTCCATTTCTATTGTTCTATTTTTCCTTACTCGCATATATGCCTATGATCCATCCGTACACAAAATTTACTCAAATCAATCTCCCTTCTAGAGGACCTATCGACCCAGAGTCAGTTGCTTTGGATCGATTTTACTACCAAGGACCTTATGCTGGCGTGAGTGATGGCAGAGTTTTAAAATACGAAGGTCCAACAGTTGGGATTGAAAGACTTTGCCTTCACAAAGCCAAATAGGTACTAACTTGGAATTTAGATCTAGTTATGGAAAAGAGCCTTCTTAACTTGGAAATTCTAAATTTCTGAAATGTACTGTACAAAATTTTACGCGAGGGTGGAATGTATCTTAAATCATAATTAGACTCTATTCGGATACATTTAGGCTAGGAAACAAAATTAATTGGATTTAACTGATACAACAATATTCTTAGACACTAAAGAGATTCAAAGAGAATCCAACACTTCTTGACAAAGCTTCTATTGATTGAAGCATCCCCGCAAGATGTAATTGAGAGCTAATTAATAATTTAGTAATTTTTGAGCCTTAGTAGTTTATTAATTTAGTAATTAATATATACTACTAGCATTTTAGTAATTTTTAGCCTAATTAACAATTTATTAGCTTAGGGCTCCATCCGTATCTTTCCAAATTTAGCAAAACTTTAAATTAGGAGCTCCAATTGGACCAAACCAGGAATATGTTTCATGACATCAAGAATGAAATTAATTTGAATTTTGTAGGAAACTTATTCCCTTGCTATTACAGCTGCTCGCCATTAGTGCACCCCATACCGATAGCCCACGACAAATCTGCTGCTCTCATGTCCATTATCAATCGAGGTGTAGAATAAAAACAATGGCGTAGCCATCAATGGCCACCTTGAAACTCGAGGAATTTAATCAATAGAGAAATGGGCAATCAGCATATGCAACGGGTCAACAAAAAGACATTAGGGAAATAGGGACCATCATCCGTTATGAATTATAATCCTCTGACTTCGAGGGAGAGGAAGAGGGAGATAGAATTTTTTTTTTTTTGTAAAATTTTTTTCATAAAAATACATGATTACAACCGAAAATCACAAGAGCAAAGGATGGGAATAACAACCCACATATACAACGACAAATAGGCCTGTCAATCGGGTCATATAAGTCGGGTTTTCATAAGTTCATGTTCAACTTATTTAATTTGTAACATTTTTGGGTTTTGGGTCATGAGTTTTGGATTAAAAAATATGAAAATCATACTCAACTCACATAATATTTAGATTTTGACTTTTATTCGGGTTTAGCCCAAACTCACTTATTATTTCTTAATTTTCTTAATATAATTACTATAACTATGAAGTTGTAAAACTAATTTAACATTCACAGGACCACAATATTAAAACTAAATATAAATAAGTAACAGTTCTTAAAAAGTACATAAATCAAGAAATTTTCAACACTATGTATGTTTAATTCGTTTAAAGTACATGAAAAATGGTAATAAAACATGCAGTTATAAACCACTACATCTTCAGAAGTTGGAATTTTTTTATATCCTTGTGACTTGAATCCAAACATACTTAATGATTTGTGTTTTTGTTTGAAATTCTAGACCAAAAAGAAATCAACCAATATTATATAGCACAGAAATTTACTCAACGAATAAGAAAAGTTAGAACTTTAGGGCCTGTTTGGAATCTGAGTTTTTTAGGAGTTTGTCTAAAATTTTACTATAGTACACTGTAGAAGTTTTCGAAAAAATTTTATAGAAGTTTTTGTAAGTAAAAAAATTTTGTAGAAGTTTTTGTATGGTGAAATTTTTTTCCTTTCCTTTTCTCTTTCTCTTTCTCTTTCTCTTTCTCTTTTTCTTTCTTTCCTTTTTCTTCTTCTTCTTCTTCTTCCCCGTTACCTCCGCCACCTCCCGCCACCCCTCTCCTCCCTTTCCCCTTCTCCTCCTTTCCCCCCGCCACCCCCTCTGCCCCACCACCCCTCTCCTCCCTTCCCCCTCAGCCCGCTACCCCCTCCCCCCTTCCTCCTCTGCCCCTCCTTCCCCTCTGCCCGCCAACCCTCGTTACCCCTGCCTTCTCCCTCAGCCCAGCCACCCCCCCCCTCTTCCCCTCTGCCTGCCCCGTTACCCCCGCCTTCTCCCTTAGCCCTGCCATCCCCTTCCCCCCTTCCCTCTCTGCCTCGCCACCCCCTCCCCCCGCCACCACCTCTGCCCCTTCCCCCTCTGCCCCGCCACCTCCCGCCTCCCCTGTTCCCCTTCCCACTTCTCACCATCTTTCTTTTCTTTCTTTCTTTTTTCACAGAGAGGTGGGGGAGAAATGGGGGAGACGCAGAGAGAAAAAAAAAAGACGAGGGGAGGATGGCAGGGGAGGAAGAGGGGGAGAGGGAAAAAAGGGGGGAAAAAAAGAAGACTAGGCGCATCTCCATAGCCATCAACAAGCCAGGGACGAAACGGTTGTGGTGGTCGACACTGGCGGTGGTGGTGGATTGGGATGGGGGTGGAAGAAGAAAAAAAGGGAAGGAAATTTTTTTTGTGTGTTGAATTTTTTTTTTTTTTTTTGTGTTTTGTGTATTTTGAAGTGTGTAGGTAAAAAACTTTGAGAAGGTTTTTTAGGGTTTCTGTAGCAAAAGTTGTTAAAAAACTTGTAAGTAAAAAACTTGTAAGTAAAAACTTGTCCAAAAAACTAGCTTCCAAACAGGCCCTTAGTTATGCATTACCAATATTGGCTCGCATGAAAGCTAGTAGAGAAGTTTTTAGATGTATTTTTGTGTCTTGTAATTTGTATATTTTAGTATTTAGTATAATATATTTGGATATATAATTATATATAATATCAAAACGTAAATATTATATATATCATTATATATAAGAGGTAATTAAAGGGTCGGACCTATATCGAATTTGAGCCCAATGAAACTTGAAATCGGCTCATATTTAATTCGAACCTAATTTTTAGGTTCAACTTCAGACCTGCTAACTAAATGATCGGGCTCATCAAGCTTTTTCTCGAACCGAACAAGTCGAGTTCGGACTTACCTGACCCTATTGACAATTCTAACAACAAATCTAGTCATCTGTCAAAGTTAGGATAGAATACGAATTCTTGATCTTGGCAGTGAAGAATATATTAAAAGTGACTCCGGGCAAACTGGCCTAACCAAACTGATTCATTTGAGTAGAATATCTAAAGGAATCACTCATTGCCTATAAATTCTTCCTTCACATAGTTGTCTTCCCTGAACGCCTTGTCCACAAATTTCTGCAAACTAAATGTACAAACGGGTACACTATGGCTTTGTTTATTTTTTTGCTACTTTCTACTTTCCCTGATTCGATATTCTCGACTGCTAATGATATTGCCATCACATCACCCACCCAAAGCATCACTCTCACATCATTTGAAAAGCTTCCTCTGCCCTCCACTGCGACCTCACCGGAGTCCTTGGCTTTCAATTTGCTAGGGGAAGGTCCTTACACTGGCGTCTCCGACGGTCGAATTCTGAAGTATATAAGGCTTACTAAGTCTTTCGTAGACTTTGCCTACACTTCACCAAATAGGTAATTTCTAATTTATTCTTAGGAGCACAAAGTGTATTTCATAATTGTCATATCTCAATTGTACCAATCTATGATGGTCATATGTTCGTGTCATTATTCTTGGAGCCCCAGTGAAATGGCTTTTATTCTTTATTATTCGTTTTCGATTACTTTAGATTTTACAAAAATCTGATTATTGGAGAATAATCAGAATCAACAAAAACTACTTTTTGGGTGATTATAAATTTTAATTTTCTGATCATTAAAAATGTATAATTAGAATATAAATGACAGGGCGTCAAACCTGTGCAATAATAATAATAATAATAATAACCTAAGTACCACTAAAAAGCTATCAATAATTAATCCTAGGTACTAGAGCAGGAACTCTAGGTGTGTAATGGGTTACTTGATTCACCCTGTTCCCAAAGAGTTTGCTGAATCCGATATATCAGAATTAATTAGTTGGTAAAAATTACTGAACAGTAGACAGTGGCAAGTAGGGTCGTCTCCTCTGGGATTGGGGATATTTATCTCTCTTAAATTCCAATTAGTATGGGGGATTTCACCGGAATGAAACTAACAATAATTAGACAATTCAAATAAAAATGAATACTTAACTAGCACAAATTGAGCAGGAATTAAATTAAGAGTAAATAAATTCTAGCCACGGATGCAACTACTCAGGCAC